GGCAGGTTTCCTGCTTTGACACAGTTGCTCCTGTCGTTCTGCTTCTACATGACCTCAATTCGTGGACTCCTGCATGAGAGTTTGCAGATGAAAAGTGCCAGCAGGCGATCGGTTGTACAGGAAGAAAGATGGGCTATCGCCAGGAGCCGTCAAAATAGACACACAAGATGAGAACCAGAGAGCCAGACTCCCTCCTGATGGAGACGCAAGGAAAGAGCTAGTGAATGAGGTGTGATCCCTAGATCTTAAACCATGCCCATATTTTCTAACTAAAGTGAAATCACCCATGAATTAAAATCAAAAGACTTAAAGGTGTTTTTCCTTCCAAGCCATCACTGATCTTGCTAGCACTAATTCAGTTAGATACTTCAAACTTCCCACTAGGACTTCTAAACCTTCTCTAGTTCCCACAATAATTCCTTTAGAGTTATCTTTTCCCTTGCTCTGTGGCAGCCACCATCGTGACTCACTGCTAGGTTTTCATGTTGTCTGTGGTACAAGCTCCCAGTTGGCCAATTTTCACCTTCTGCCCACCGTTTAGTCAGAGCTAGCCAGTAGGCACTGCCAGCCTTTGACTCCTCCGACCTTCCCAACCTTGTGAATCTCAGCTGCTCCCACACTCTTTAATGCATCCTTTTTTAATTTTTTTTTATTTTTTTCCTTATTTATTGATTTAAAGAATTTCCACTTCCTCCCCTCCTCCCAATACCCTCCCACTCCCGTTCCCCCAACTCCCTCTCCTCCTCCCTCCCCATTCCCAAGAGCAGTCAGGGTTTCCTGCCCTGTGGGAAATCCAGGTTCCTCCCCCCTCCCTCCAGGTCCAGGAAGGTGAGCATCCAAACAAACCAGGATCCTGAAAAGCCATTCCATGCAAACGAATCAAGATCCAGTACCATTATTGTCAATGGCTTCTCAGTCAGACCCCATGTCAGCCACATTCAGAGAATCCGGTTTGATCACATGCTCGTTCAGTCCCAGTCCAGCTGGCCTTGGTGCGCTCTCATTCGATCAGTCCCCTTGTATCAGTGGGTGAACGCACCCTTCGCGGTCCTGACTTCCTTTTTCATGTTCTCCTTCCTTCTGCTCTTCATTTGGACCTTAGGGGCTCAGTCCAGTGCTCCAATGGGGGTCTCCGTCTCTATCTTCATCCATCGTCAAATGAAGGTTCCCTCTGGTTCTGCTTTCCTTGCTCACGATCTCCCTTCCTCTGTTTCTCATTTGGACCTAGGGAGTTAAGTCCAGTGTTCCAATATGTGTCTCTGTCTCTATCTCCATCCTTCGCCATATGAAGGTTCTGTGGTGACATGCAAAATATTCATCAGTATGGTTATGGACCCAGGCCAGTTCAGGTACCCTCTCCTCTGCTGCCCAGGGAACAATCTGGGGACCTCTCCTTGGGCCTGGGAACCCTTCCAGAATCAAGTATCTTGCAAACCCTAAAATGGCTCCCTTAGTTGAGGTATAAACTTCCCTGCTCCCATAGCCATCCTTCCTCCCTCCCCCCCTCCCATTCCCCCAAGCCATCCCCAGTCCTCCCCGTCTCCCCTCTCCCCTCTCCCTAACCATCTCCCCTTACTTCCACTCCCCCCACCCCCCCCCCGTGCACCCAAGTTTGCCTGGCAATCTTGTCTACTTCTAATATTCAGGAGGATAACTATATGATTTTCTTCAGGTTCACCTTCTTATTTAGCTTCTCTAGGATCACGAATTATAGACTCAAAGACCTTTAACTATGGCTAGAATCCACTTATGAGTGAGTCCATACCATATTCCTCTTTTTGGGTCTGGGTTACCTCACTCAGTAAAGCGTTTTCTATGTCCATCCATTTGCATGCAAAATTCAAGATGTCGTTGTTTTTTACCGCTGAGTAAAACTCTAATGTGTATATGTTCCACACCTTTTTTAACCATTCTTCTATTGAGGGGCACCTAGGTTGTTTCCAGGTTCTGGCTATTACAAATAGTAATGCATCCTTTTTGAATGAAAAATGCTCAGTGCCACACCTGCATTTCTGTCTTCCACTGCCCGGCATGGAACACTCTGTTTGCTGTCAATAACTTCCCAGCCACACTCCACCTATTCCTAGCCCATCTAACTTCCATTTTAACATAGTAACTGTGAAGCACTGTGGTTCTCAAATAGACTTACACTTTTCTTCTCTCCTCTGAATTCATGTGTTCCATGGGGACACAAAGCATCTTGATTGGGGACTTATTATTCTCACACGTAAGGAATGAATAGAAAACTAAGTCCTGAGCTCTGAACCCTGGTTGTTAAATGAGACTCTCTGGATAGGGCAACAAGACTCACACTCCATCTACACACTGCATACAAAGGGAGGCCCAGCGGTAAGGCCTCTCCCTAGTTAATTGTACCCCATACACACAATGGCCAGCGGTCTTCACTGCTTACTCCACTATTGACAGAGATGCCTGTGTGAAGCCTTTGGAGGCATTATTATATCGGTGTGCCTTAAGACGAGTTTGTAACACGAATAGTAAGAACCCAGAGACAGATAGGGGGATTACGCTGGAGATCAGAAAAGCAGAGCAGCCAACCACTAGAGAGATCTTTTACCTCTACCAAATCTTCAGACCCAATGGGCAAGATCCTGTCTCCACGAATTCTCAGACTCCACACTCCAGTGAGTTCGTCTCTTGCCATGTATATCCCTCTCTTCACCCAGCCATATTCCTTCTGTCTCCACCTCCCTAGGGCTGGCATTAAAGGTGTGTGACTCCCAGACACTGGGAGTAAAGGTGTAAGACACCACCATCTGGATCTGTTTCTGCGTGGTCTTGTGTAGCCCAGGATGACCTTGAACTCACAGAGTTCCATCTGCCTCTGTCTCCCAAGACCTGGAATTAAAGGTGTGTGCCACCACTCCCTGGCCTCTAGTGGCTCAGCATTGCATGATGATCTTCAGGCAAGCTTTATTTATTAAAATACAAATAAAATATCACTAACGCATTGGCTGAGGTTTTATCATTTCCCAGGAACTGCCAGCAATTACAAAGATTACAGTTTCCAGGTTTGAACTTCACAGTGTTACTTACCACCCTTCTCTGGGGGAAGTTCCTATTAAAATACCTTGGGAAAGTTTCTCATTCCTTCTATACAATAAGAGCTGTTTCAAGAAATGTGCCTATCACCCTAATTGCTGCATCTCGAATCAAGACCACGGAACAGGACTCTGATTTGGTCCTCTTGTGTGTCTGCCTAGCCTCCCATGGTGGCCCACTGAGACCCAAAGACTCACAAAGACCTCCCCCTTTACTCTTTTCAAACTCACAGAATTTAAGAAAAAGACAATGTTCAAGTTTCTTCTCAGTTGTCTCCCCTTACCCAAATGGCCTGGGCAAGCCAGCTTCCTGGACAGCCCAGCATGGATGCTGTGGTTTTCTGTGTAAGACAAACAAAATCCTAAGAATAATTTATTTGATGTCATACATTTTTAAAACATAGCCAAGAGCCTGAAATTTAATCACATGTAGGCATTTTCTTATTTAGCTTGAATATTTCTCCTTACCCTGATATGTTGTTAATATTTTTATTAATTTTTAAGAATCTTATAGAATTTATTTTGATCATATGCCTGATAAATTTCATGCCCTCTCAGAATAGAACACATATACACACATGCATATGCCCTTCAGTTCTAAAGGAACTAGCAGAGAATTTAGAACAAACATTTGCCAAGTTCATGAGTCAAGATTATTTTAACTTTAATTTACATGAAATTACATGTCCAGTTATTGATGGTAAACATATCCAAAACAGTTGGAATTTTGTGGTTGGAGTTTTGTGGAATATAACAGTTTATGGTGTTTCCAGGCATGAACAACCCTGAGATAATAAATGCTAGATTTAAACTGAAATACTTTAACTGTTCAAAGGTAAAGTATCTCATTATATATGTTTCGACAAAATGAGTGAGGTGTATAGAGGCTTGATTGGCTCAGAAATACCGGGTTCATTAATTGAGCTGAGAGTTATATTTCCTGGGAATTCTGCTAAGAGCTAGCGTGAATTCCTTCACAGTGTTGTTCATACCACTGGAAAAGAAGTCATGCATACATCTAAGGCTGAAAACGTGTGAGTCTTGAGCAGGTGATGTTTACAAAGCAGTTACTGAACTAAATGTTTTGAGCTAAGGCAATAAATAGGACGATTTGCTTCCTTAAGGCAATGAGATGAATGCGTGGCTACATGGTGCTTAAAAGCTCTCTACTTTCCAGATATACTCACTGGTTTTCTGTGTCTTCCACTGTGGCAAGCACAGGCCATTGCGGGTCTCACTCTGTGACTTAGCTGGAAACGGCAAGGCTTACATGACTTCTTTTATAATTGCCCTCTCGTGGAATCAGAAAATCTGGACCTGGGGGAAAAGACCTCATCACAGATGCGGACATTGGAAGCAAAGGGTGAAAAGACCTTCTGCTAAGTGACCGTTTGCCATTTTGTTTGTGACACTTTCTAATGCTAGCAACTAAACAGACACACTCTGGGATCTGGTAGCCTTCGCACTTGGAAATCGGGGCCCCTGGCTGCAGCATTTTCCCACTAGAGCAGAACCGATCTGTTTCCAAATGTGTATTTTATTTAAAATTCCTCTTTCTAAGAAGCACCTTGTTAATAACTGACTTCATTTCCAAATGTGTGATGGAAGGTTATATGCAATTCCAGTATTTTAAAATCTTACTTAGTTTCATTTCTTAAGATACTAAAATATATTAGGCTCAGTAATAAAAACATTAATTTTGAGAACTAAAATTAAAAATGGCTAAAATAATTCAAAGTCTATTTCAGTTTTAATTATTTAACTTCCATTGTGATTATTAAGGTTTATGACCTTATGCTCCAACATTGAAGGGTTCTTCCAGGTCCTAGTTAGAGTTCAGTAAATATCACCTTCATACCCTCTCCCATGAGGAGAAACAAGCTAAGATTCAATAAAGGTAACTGGAGCTTTCTCCTAATGTGGCCGTCTTTCCTTCAGGTTCTTCCAAGGCAAACCTGTGGACTCTTCACACACACCATTTTCTACAAGGAGTACCCAGGAGGTCCCCAGGAGCTGGACAAGAGTATTCATGGAGGGGAGCTCTTTTTCACTGTGGTTCTCAATCCAGTAAGTACATGGAGTCGTTCTTCAAACAAACGCTGTTTAAAATGACAAGGTGCATAAACAATGACATTGAGGAAGAAATAGGGGATTGGGTAGTAGCCCACCAAATAATACGAAGCTTGCTGCTATGGAGATGAAAATCCCCCTTGCTCCTCCTCACCCTCTCCCTCCTCTCCTCCTTCCCCTCTCTCCCTTCTTTCCCTCATCTCCCTCTTGCTCCTTTCTCCCCTCTCCTCTCTCTCTGTGCTCTGGCCCATCCCCTCTTCTCTTGCTGTTCTCACTCCCTCTTTCCCTATTTGCCCCCTTCCTCTCTCTCTCTCTCCCATTCTCCTCGCTGTCCCATGCTGTCTTCTCATCTCTCCTCTCTGATAGAAGAAAGCACAGATTTTGTAAGTACAAAGGAGTTGGTTAACCGACTGCCTCTCTTTTCTCCGTCCATGCTCAGTTCTGCCCTGCTGAGTCATGGAGCATCCCTGACTAATGGTGGGCTGCTCTTTCTCCTTCGTATCTTTATACTAGTTCATCAGCAATGCAGCGAGCCACTGGTGAATTAATTTTCCTGGAGGTGAGTGTCATAAAATCGTGTGCTGAAAGGAAAACTATTAAAACGAGCTGCAGAAGGGAAAAGCTCTTAGTGATTTTCTTCCATGAACGAGAACAGAAAAAAAAAAAACAGAGATCAAATCTATTTTCAAGTATTTGGATTTGACCCTGACTGTAAAAAATTCAAGATGGAAAGTTGCAATTATCTCCAAAAACAACGATTTTTTTCTTATCAGGATAAAATTTGGATTAGACAGAAATAAGCAATAATATTTGAAAGAGCCTTAGCTGGACTTTAATCTTACAGACTCTATAAATAAAATGGCAAGTATTCTTCCTCATCTACTCTATTCAAAAGCAAGTCTAAATTTTAGCAGCTAGAAAATGAGACGGATGAAAAGGGAACTCAGTCTTTAGTAACCTCTGCGTGACTTCACATCCAGGAGCCGTTGTGACTTCCATCTTTTAGGAAGGTTATCATGCTTCTAAACCCTCCGCAAGTAGACATTTCTGATTTACGCTCCAAAAATACTGCCCTTCTTCTAGATTACCTTTATTTTTAATTACTCTATATGGATTCTTTCTCTCTTTTGCTCAGTATTGTGCTGGTAAAGGAAGTTCACCAGTGTGTAGTTATGAACCAAAGACTCGGTTAAATACTTGTGAAATGACTTCACCAATGGTTTTCAGACCCTTGAACATGTATTCTACAAGAGTCTGGTGGAGCAGTTCACTGGGAGCCAGTCTGTGTGATTATCTACCCATTGGTGATGTAATATTTGAGAAACTCCTGGTATAATTGTGTCTGAACTTTGTGAACCAAATGATCTCCACTCAACCCAGAAGAAATTTTAAAATCAGTCACTCATATATAGTGGGATTATATCAATTTTTACCTATTATCTGATAAGTAATATTTTCATTAATAAAAATCTATACATTTCAACCTAAAAATTCTAACAGCAAAGATTATGTTGACCTTAGTGCCAATTTAGACAAACATGTAAACTTTTCTTTCTAGATTGGAAAACTTCCCAAAGATTTTTGGTAAACAAGAACTGGTTCAAACTAACTAGGATCTTTTGACATGTCCCATGAGATAGACAGTGATCCGAGATGACTCATTTGGTTCACAAGACACAATCTAGGATAGGAATTCTCTTTACCTGGTGGAGACAGATGCCAGTGATGTTGACAGTTAGACTCTGGCAGTGAGGACATGTGCTATCATTAGTGACGACTGCCTGGATGACCAACGTGAGGAATAGGGCTTGCTTCCCAGGAATTCTCAGACCAAAATTAAATGGTCAAAGAAAGCTATGTTCAACCTTCAAAAACTCCAGCTTCAGTGACGCATGTATGAATCTAGCAGGTGAAGTGTTTTATTAGGTCAGAATGGGAAGGAAAAAGTCCTTATCAGATTATAGTGTGTGTTTGTTGTAAGAAAGATGATCATTTTAATTACAGTGGACTTGAAAGATGGCCACTAGACAATCACATAACATAGGCCTTAATTAAAGATGATATTTTCCGAAAATATTAAGTGATGTTGTTTTCTAAGGAAAGGTAGATGAGTATTGGAAACATGGAACTAAGTACGTTCAGATACACTTGATGGGAAAGGAAAATACAGTCATGGCTGCGATTAAAGAGCTTTTAAAGTTTTTCTCCATGCATTAACTCTTGAAGGTGCAAGAAATCAATGTTGGGTGAGAGGTGGCTACAATTAAGTGCACTTCAGAGTTAAGCTTTGAAAAGAAAACAGTAAAGACGAAACTCCTTAAAATGAATAGCCTTCTGTGACTCTGCTATCAATGTATTCTTCTTGGCTGAAAAGAAGTGTCAATCAAATGAATGTAACACAATTCGAAAAGCACAATGAGGAACAGGCGTGACAGAGGAGAGAAAACCTTGGCTGTCTTTCGATTTCCAGTAACACGGGTCAGAAACCTCTGACATGAGATGAATGCAGGTGTTCTGATAGCTGGGATTTAAATACAGGTTCTGTATAGATTCTGTTATAGAAAGAACCTGTTCCCCATGCTGGATTTCCTTGCCCTGCCTTGACACAAGGGGAGGAGCTCAGCCCTGTCTCAACTTGATGTGCCATGCTTTGTTCATGCCCATGGGAGGTCTGCTCCTTTCTGAATGGAGATGGAGAAGGAGTGCGGGGAGGGGACTTTTGGTAGAAAGGTGATGGGGACATGGTGAAAGAGTGCTGCAGAGAGAGAGGACACGGTGAAAGGATGAGTACATCAAGTTGAAAGGGACAAAGAATGGATAACGGGCAAAAAGATGGTAGTCACTGGTCCTGCGGGATGCAGATACGGAAAGACACACACTATGTGTGTGCTGTCAGAAACTACCCCAGATGCCAAGCCACTTCTTGATTTTAAGTGGAATTTCAGTAAGATGACCTGAGCTGCTCAAGGTCATTCTGTTAGTAATCTGATGAGGATTTCATCCTTCCTGGTGCCAGTTCAGGGTATCTACCAAGGTAGTATGCTGTTTCTACGCACAGCTGAAATGACCGGCAGTTCGTAGTGTGCCTTGGGTACCTGGTAGTGGGAAAGTGTATAAATGGTTGAAAATTTCAGGTCATGATCTGAGGAAAAGTAACTATCACTTCACTGACTTTTTTCAGTGCTTTAGAGAAAGTCTGTTACAAGTGATGATGGGTGGAAGGTGCCTCATGGGCTTTGTAGGAACTATGAACAAACAACTATGTTGTACCTTTTTGAATAATAAGTCTGATTGGCCTTACTTATAAATTGATAAGATACATGTACTGGTAAAATCTGAACTTCATATTTCACAAATTCCCTGTCCTCCAAAGAATTTCTGGTTTTGCTGTCATTAATGTTTTCACTACTGACTGATTGTGCTTTTCTATAATCTATTGCCATGGTGAAATTAAGAAAACCAAAGGAAGCATAGTCTACTCTTTCAACTTCCACACTTAAGAACAGCAGAAACCATTAGGTTAGGTATTGTTCTTTTAAAAATTCAGGTCTGGGTACTGATGGTACACACCTTTAATCCCAGCACTAAGGAGGCAGAGACAGGCGCTCTGTGAGTTCAAGGCCATCCTGTTCTATGGTGTGAGTTCCAGGACAGCCACACAGAGAAACCCTGTCACAGAAAAACAAGGGAGAGAGAGAGAGAGAGAGAGAGAGAGAGAGAGAGAGAGAGAGAGAGAACAAGAAAAGTAAGAAAAAGAAAGGAAATCTAAGAAAATGGCAGCAAATAGGTTAAAGAAAGAGAATTCACTGGACAATCAGTCTCTCATATTTGTTCAATTGAACAATTTGTTCAACATACACTTCCCTGTATATTCGCACTTAAACACACTAAAACGAAAGGACAAAATATTAGTTAACAGGAAATCGTCATGAATTCTCAGTGAAGCAGAATTTAAGGTAGCTTTTCCAAATCAATCATCCACCAACTCAACCAGCTGTGAGTCTCGGTGTATTTCTTCATGGTCCTGGACTTTGCTTTGTGTTTGCACCAGCGGTATGGGGTATGCATTCCAAGAGGGAGCATGAGACAGGAGGTGGCCTTCTTTGGCTTAACCTGAGCACATTAGGAATGCTGGGGAGAACAAAAATGTTATTGTGCATCACCAGCGAATGGTGAAATGGGTTACTGTGCTTTGCAAAACAAGTTGTTATTGGAATTGATGGCAGCAATATCTAGATAAATCAGCAGCTGGTTGGTAGGCATGATCTATAATACCAAAAACCCACAGCTCGCTTTCTGGGAATCAAGTTCAGTTGATCAAAGAAATGAATGTTGTTATGTCTTAGGTAATCCTTGGAAGTGTCCCATAACCTTCAGCACAAACAGAAACATCTTTCACTTGGGGAGAAAAATCACATTGGATGTCTTCCTCAAAGTCATATTGGGTGTCTTCCCCAAAGTCACATTGGGTGTCTCCCAAAGTCACATTGGGTGTCTCCCAAAGTCACATTGGGTGTCTCCCAAAGTCACATTGGGTGTCTCCCAAAGTCACATTGGGTGTCTCCCCAAAGTCACATTGGGTCTCTCCCCAGTCATGTTGGGTATCTTCCCACTTTTCTAGACTCTTTTTAGAAGCTAATCTCCTGTACATATCCAACACTCTGAACACAGGTGCTATTTTGTGACGTCATAACTAATGATAGCTTCAAGTCTGGATGCTTTAGTGAAGTCCCAGCTCATGAATCACCTTTCTATGGAGTTTCCTCACACTCCGTTTTTGTTTAGATTTCTCCTCTACTATCTCCTCTATTATCAAAGTTGGCTTAAACACAACTTTGCCTTGATGCTGTAACTAATTTTCCTTATTTTATCATAGTTTGTGAGCTCTTTGATTTAAAAGGTAGTGCTTTCTTATGTCTTAAATTCACAAACGGCCTAAAAACTTCTGGCACATGGTATTTTCTCAGTGGATAGCAATTCATTATCTTCTCCTGCCA